CAGTAAAGAGGATCCTGAGATACATCAAAGGGACCTCAAATGTTGCATTATGTTACAGAGGATCAAACTTACTAATCAATGGGTATGTAGATTCTGACTATGCAGGGGATTTGGATAAAAGCAAATCTACTACAGGATATGTGTTAAAAATTGCTGGTGGAGCTGTAAGCTGGGTTTCAAAATTGTAGTCAATTGTGGCTACGTCCACAACAGAGGCAGAATATGTAGCAGCTACACAAGCCAGTAAAGAAGCAATTTGGTTGAAGATGCTATTGGAGGAGCTTGGGCACAATCAAGAGTATGTCTCTCTGTTTTGTGATAGTCAAAGCGCCTTGCATCTAGCAAGGAATCCAGTATTTCATTCAAGGACTAAGCACATACGAGTTCAGTACCATTTCATTCGTGAAAAGGTGGAAGAATGAACGGTAGATATGCAGAAGATCCATACCAAAGACAACATAGCAGATTTCATGACGAAGGCGATCAACGCTGATAAATTTACCTGGTGTCGATCCTCTTGTGGCCTGTCAGAGACGTAAGCAACATGATGATACAAGGTAGAAAGAAAAGTGTGAAGATATGATTGTTCCAATCAAATCTTCAAGTGGGAGATTGTGGAAAAGTCAAACAAGTTATGCAATTGATTTAGGTGCACATGCAATTGTTCAATTGCTTTCGGTGGCAGCACTAATTTTGTCAAAATTAGGTGCACCAATGGTTGAAAATTAAATGGGCAAAATACAAACTTTAATCATTAAAATTTATGGTATTTACAAGATTAAGTCCTTAAGATTTAGCTATAAATACCCTATCCCATTTAGCTTCAAAATCATCCCAAATCATTTTAGCTTTCTTCCAATACTAGAGAGAATTTAGAGAGTTTCTTAAGAGTTGTTTTCTCCTTTTTATCGATAGAGAATTATCATTGTTTTCTCCTTGGTAGATCGAGAGAGGTTGTAATTCCTATTTTCTCATAGTGAAATTCTTCTACCGTTGCCCGTAGTTTTTACCCTATTTTATTTAGGGGTTTTCCACGTAAATTTTGTGTCTCTTTTATCTTCATTTTTATTTTTTCAAATTATCAGTTGCGATTTTGTTCTATCCGATAGCCGTCTTCCGCAACAAATTCAACCATGCATGTTTCTGCATACAGACACAAAACAAACCCTCAATGTAAAATCAAGGTTCACCATACATAAACATCGTCCTCTCCAATATTATCTTCACATTTACTTATATTTAAGCACCCAAATTTTATCAACTAGCTAACCCAGTATCCTCTCTTTCAATTTAAAGATTATTTGATTAACTAATTCAGATTAAATTTTACAAATATTCATTATGAAAGCAACTCTTTCAATTAGTATACTCTATTTACAAATATCAAAATTTAAATATTTGACATTAATTAAAAAATCTAATATCTCGCACGTAATAAGTCAAAGTATCCATCGTTTATAAATATAAAAACAACCCAAATCGCGACTAATAAAACAACCCTGGACCCAGTGGTCACTTATCGTGAACCCCATTTTTATCCGAACTCTTGTCAAAATTTGATAGCCACACATCTGCCGTACCGTTCCCATCTTGGTTCTATAATTGCAATTGCAATTGCAATTGCAATATATATATGAACGCATACAATGCAACTGCAAATGCAACCAATTGTGTATACTCGTTAACCCTCAAATCTTTCCTGTCCATCGTTTTCTTTGTTATTTTTCTATATTTAGAATTCGTTTCTTTTGATAATTGGTGTTTGGGGTTTGTTTGATTTGCTGTAACTCTCTATCTTTTCTTCTTCTCCTTCCTCTTTTGAAATTCTTTGGGGTCGGAATGAGAGACTTAGGGGGCACAATGCTAGAAGAGGTTGATGGCATTAGGAAATCCAAGTTCGAGAAAACTATATATACATTCGGATCCGAACATGTCCATGGTTTTTCCTGTGGGTGAAGACGATTTATGTCTTCGTCACAGCAGCGCATCGACTAATGGTTCCGGTCCTTCCTTTTCCGAACCGAACAGGTCGAGTGGAGAAGGCTCGCCGATGACGATGTCGCCGTGGAACCAAACCTCTCATTTCAACAAGCCTTTCGACGACGAAAATGTCCCACCCAACTGTCTCATCGGGTCTCTTACACGTGAAGAGGGCCATATTTATTCGTTAGCAGCTTCGGATGATCTACTTTACACTGGCTCCGATAGCAAGAACATTCGTGTGTGGAAGAATCTTAAAGAGTTTACTGGTTTCAAATCAAACAGTGGATTGGTTAAGGCCATTGTGATTTCAGGGCAAAAGATTTATACTGGTCATCAAGATGGGAAGATTCGGGTTTGGAAAGTCTCTGTTAAGAACCCAGGTGTTCATAAACGAGCTGGAACTTTGCCAAGCCTTAAAGAGATTCTCAAAAGCTCCATTAAACCAAGCAATTACATTGAAGTAAAGCCTAAGCGCTCTTTATGGATCAAACACTCGGATGCATTATCCTGTTTGAGCTTGAATGAAGAACAAGGTCTTCTTTACTCAGCTTCATGGTATAGAACGTTTAAAGTTTGGAGAACTTCGGATTATAAATGCCTTGAGTCAGTTCATGCACACGACGACGCTGTTAACTCCGTGGTTTCGAGCTCCGGAGATATGGTTTTCACGGGTTCAGCCGATGGAACCATTAAGGTGTGGAAAAGGGAATAGGTGAAAGAGGAACGAAACACACGTTGAGTCAAACTCTTTTACAACAAGAATGTGCAGTTACAGCGTTAGCAATCAACAACCCTGCCTCGGTACTGTACTGTGGCTCCAGTGACGGCCTAGTGAATTTCTGGGAACTAGAAAAGGGTCAAGCCCACGGCGGGGTACTTAAAGGGCACAAGCTGGCTGTTCTTTGCCTTGAGGCGGCTGGGAATTTGGTGTTTAGCGGATCAGCTGATAAAACTATATGTGTTTGGCGCAGGGACAGCAACATCCACACATGCCTCTCGGTGCTAACGGGGCATACGGGGCATGTGAAGTGCTTGGCCGCGGAAACGGACCAAGAAGTGAGGAAGGAGCAGCCTTGGAAATTGTACAGTGGGAGCCTCGATAAGTCCGTCAAAGTGTGGAGCGTTTCGGAGTATGCTCAGATAGGGTCGATGCAGCAAAGCCAGCAGCAGGGGTGGGATATGAAAGGGAGTCTCCACCTTCTGATGAGAGCTACTCGTCGGGCAGCAACTATGGGAGGTATTGAAAACAGATTCCAAATGAATTTCGGGTCTTTCTGATATGAATTGTCTTCGACACGTGGCCTGGAGGGAGGAAACCCGTTCATTATAGTTAATGTTGTCGGGGTGAAATCAGTTTGAGGGTTTTCTCTGGGACCATATATAGTAAATAAAGAGAATTGTTGTGGACTTTGATGAAAACTGCACACAGATTTTTCTTTAATAAGTTTCCCCTTCTTTGCTTCTACTTGTGCCTGTCAAATCTTCGGGAACGATTATCTATATTAATCCAACAATACATCATGGTGAAAGGTAAACGCATAATATACATGATATATACATATATTCCTTACAAGGTATCTGCTTTGCTCTGATCACACCAATACTGCAATTTCAGTGACTTGTATACGTTGAAAAGGGACTCTGCAAATAATAAAACTAAAGTGAAATGGTCCAAGAACCAAAAACAGGACAAGCAAGCTGAATTTGGTAGCAACCCCTCTTGGCTTGTTCTTGAATAAGTACTCGGCTCTTCTGGGCTGCTGACGGGAATAGAATGCTCCATCCTATGTCCTACGTTGTCTCCAGCAGAGAAATAGGGAGTTTGAAGTTCATTCACGCATTGCAAATGAAGTATCAGAACTTTTGCTTGGGAACCTTTCATCACTACAATGTTGCAGTGAAGTTCGTCCATGCAATGTTTCAGCTCTTGCTTCAGTTTTCCGATAGAAAAACAACTCTTCGTGAGTTAACACAGAAATCGACATCCAGTTTAAGATTTTCTGGCATGCCAAATTGTTATCATGAGATATTACAGACCAAGCATGCTTATTATTTTTTTATAGCTGAAGTGCTTTGGGATAAAAGATATGGGCTAAGATTTATAATCTTTAATGGACTTTGGGCTTTGCGTTTAATCTTTTAAGTTTTTTTTAATGTAAACCATTTCTTTTATGTATATGTTATCTTAATTTAAAGGGTATTTGTATACCAGACCCGAATAGACATAGCCGACCTAAATATGAGGCTTTCGCCCAAATTTGAACGATAATAATAATAATTTCAATAATAAACCTTTTAATATCACTTAATCCATTATCAGGCTCAATAACTAATTTCAAATTAAACTCGATGACCCATAAATCAAGGGTAAAGTACATGAATATTTCCCTAATTATAAGCCGTTATTTTTATTAAGTCATCGACTATTAAAACTTATAAAATGTCAGGGGCGAAATATAAGTTAGAATAGAGGGGTCAAGGCCCTCCCAAAATTTAAAAAAATTTAATTTTGACCTTTAAAATTTTAAAAAAAATCAATTTGACTCCCTTAAATTTTTAGAAATTCAAATTAAATTTTAATCTTTTTAATGTTCTTAATTAAATCTCCTCTCGTAATTTTTTAAAATTCTCATTAAGTATCTAATAATTTCAAAAATTGTAGTTACACCCTAATTTTTTTTAGGAAAAATATAAATTTAACCGTTCAAAAATTTTAACTTAAACCTCTATATTTTTTAAAATTTTAAGTTGCCCCCAAACTCTATCACAAAGTTCTACCATTAGTCTTATGATTAGACGATAATATTTTGGTGAGTTCGTCGACAATTAAAAGTTACAAAATGACCACTTTTTATTCAAATATTTTAAACTCATCTTTTTATGTTAAAAAAAATAACGGTAGTCTGAACTGTACATTTACATGTTGATTAATATGAATTGACTCGCATCGCACATTTACATAAACGTTATCAAATTGTTTACTGAACTAACCCATTGTTTTTACATTAGATTTTATTTTAAAAGGAAAACACCCAACGGATTTCATTAAAGGAGGTACAACGTTGAAGATGAACCTGAGGTCCAAACTCATCTTATTGCGATGTAGTACTGTATTAATATCTTAACAAAGCCCTTGCCAAACTTTACGATCAGCATTCATATTTATTATCATCTCTAAGAGCTCGCTCGTTTGAATGATTTTATGGTGATGGCAGCCCCCAGTGGGGACGTCCCGACGTCGATTTCAAACGTGTCATAACGCTTGAAAAGTTGCACCACAAGGAGCCTAGCTATCAGCACCACGAACTCTTTGCCCGCACATTGTTTGTTCGCCACCGATGGTGTCTCCGTCTCGGGTCCATTCGACCAAACCACGTACTTCAACAGCTTCTCCCCATCCGCGCCTACGAACCTATCGGGAACAAACTCCTCGGCTCTCTCGAATACTTTCCGGTCTTTCGTAGCAATTGGTTGGAAACCGAACAGCATCTCTCCTTTCTTCACTTCAAAAACAGCGTCGTGACTCTCAATCAGAAGATCTTTCTTTGCTTTTCCGTACTGTGTCGGAACCGGAGGGTCGATCCGGAGTGTTTCGTATACCACAGATTTCATTTAATGGCATCTGTTCCAAGGCAGCCATACTGAGTTTCCCGCCGTTGGATTTGATGGCTGATCTGATCTCCAGCGCTAACTTAGTGTGCAGCTCCTCACCAGCTTGGCCAATATATTTAAGTATGCTGGGGAACAAAATTTTTACGCCACCGTAGGTATTAAAGCACGTGGCGAATAACAGATTATGGCAAGCTTCTTCTCGTGAAAGACCCAATTTCTCTGCTTCATCTTGAACGAAACCAGACGACTGGTAGATGAAATCATAGAGTTTATTGTAATCCCTTTTGACGAGAAATGCAGGGAGGGGAAAAGTATGGAGTAAAAGATCTTCAATGTATTTTGGGAGACCAAGGGATAGAACTGGAGCGAGGTTAAAGAGTACCCATTTGGCAATCGAGCTCGGACCGTCAGTTCCGAGTTTAGTATCCGGCGGGTTTGAACCAAAGTAAGCTCGACCCAAGAAGTTAAACGCAGCTTGTTCATTAAGTGTGGAAAAGTTGCTTTTGCCTTTTGCAGCGACTTCTTTCTCCACTGTTGCAAATAACTCGGTGTAACAAGCTTCAAACTCGGGAAACACTCTATCTTTGATGGATTTCAAGAGAAAAAAGAGAAGTTGTTTGATCTTGGCGTGTTTGGGCTCGGAAGGGTCGAGGTAGGAGAGGATCCGATACCCGCCGGTAAGTTTCGTTGAAGGCATGTAAGTGCCGGTGAAAAGGTCTTTCTTTTCAACTTTGGATACGTCGAAAAGAACGGGAAAACTCTTAGCGTCGAGTAGAGCGATAACTTTTGGGTTGGAAGAGATGAAAGGACCGGGTGGCATGTTGGTTCGAACCACGGTTGAGTGGTATTTCTGGATTTTTGGATTTGAAAAACTCCTCTCGACCTTGGTTGTAGAAATAATCAAGTCTGTCCTTGATTGCACCAAAAAAAGGAAGACCATAATCACCTGGAATTTTCTTCAAAGGAAGCTTGGTTTCTCCCGTCTTCTCCGACGGCAAGTCGCTGACCGGCCGAACGGTAGCAGGATGAGTAGACGACCTCGTCGACGTTGGTGAAGTAGCGGCAGCCATTAGGATTCAGGAGGGTTTGTAGTTAATAAGAATAGTGAATTGATTTGGAGAGGTGAGGTGGATTGCAAGCTGAGACTCGACTCTTTTCTTATAGCAGTGACCTTACCGACAAACTGATCGCTCGTGAAATGTGTGCATTATATTGACTTGAATTTACGACATTGCCTCTTTTCCAATTTGTATTTTTTTCCTAACATATAATACAAGGAACAGATAACAATCATGTTAGATTTTTTCTCTAATATTTATATAATTTTATTTGGGGAATGCTAATTAGATATATCATGTCAATTTTTTAAATTTCTACGTCATTTTTTCTAAGTGGCACGTATCATCAACTTATGAGAATAATAGAAAATAGATCATTTTTATTTTTAATGTGAATTGATTTAAGGATACTTACATGAGAAGTAAGGTACTCAACCATAAAGTTAAGCTAGTCATTTAAATTAATTTCACCACATTTTATATTTAGTTAAGCTAGTCATTTAAATTAATTTCACTCAAATATGAAACTCTTTAAATTAATGACCGAAAACTTAATCATTCAATTATAGTTTGATTTTTTTATTATACTGACCTTAATAATTACTTATATCATTATTAAATTAAAAGATTAATTTTTCACTTTATTATAAATAAAAATAATTAAATATATTATATATTTTTATAAAATTTATATTAAATCATTCTAGAAAATTATATTTATAACATTTTTAATTACTTTAAAATATTTATTTATTTTTTAAAAATAATATTATTTATTTTTTAAACTATTGTGAAATCTTTATTTAAATTTGTTATTTTACTAAACTTAATATTTATTGTATCATTTAAATTAAAAGACACTGATAATTATATAATTTCAAATAAATATTATAATATTATAAATGAAAAATATGATATAAAAAATAAAATAAAGTAATATTTTAATTTGATAATATAATTATTAAGTTCAATATAATTAAAAAATCATACTATAATTGAGTGGTTAAGTTTTTAGGTCATTAATTTAAAGTGTATTATATACGAGTAGGGATGACAACGAATTGAATTGAGTTGAGTCTTTTGCCAACCTCACCCGATACGAAAAATATATACTATCTATTTTAACTCTAGTCGACTCGACCCAACCCGACCAGTAGAGCATATTTTATTTACCCAAAATCAATATGACCCAAAATTTTAGAGTATAAATCCGACCTAACACGACATAAGTTTATATAAAAAATTAAACTATTATCCTCAGATCGGAGGTTTCTCATTCTCTACCCGAATCTGATACAATCGGATCTCTCTTTATATAAAATCTGATTCAAATCTATTAATTATAGTTGGACTCTAACAATTTCGAATTAAATTGTCGTCACTAAATATAAGCACGTTGAAAATAGGTTGGCACTCTCTTCGATGCCATCTCATCTCAGTGAGGGTGTGATAGGGAGTCCTTTGAATTAATTATTGAAACGCCATAGATTAAAACATGTGATTAAGTTCTGGCGTGTAGTGTCTGCACAGTCACTGTCACGTTCCCGGAATAACATTTACCGACGAAATGTCTTCTTCTCTGAACTCTCAGGCTTCAGCCACCGCCGCCGCCGAAACGGAGTTTACTCTTTAAACTGTTGAAAGACATACTATAAACATGATTAAAAAAAATGTAATAAGAGAAGATAGAAGTTGGGAAACTTGACTGATGAAGAACCACCGATGCTTAAAGGCTTTGCCATCCGTCACCGCTTATCTTCTGTAACTTTGGGATTAGGGCGAAGTGGGTTCATACTTTTGACAACCAGATAGCATGTTATGGGCCATCTAGTATTATTTGCTAAAGACAACATCTCAACTAACTGTTTATATTTTAATAATTTACCATAAATATAAGACAACATCTCAACTAACTGTTTACATCTTCTGTAATTGATTTTATTTATTTGATATATATATAACGTATATTACATTTTAAAAATTACAAAAATTAATATATTTAAATGTTACATTGAAATTTATTGACATCAGTACATATTAATACCGGTAAAAAACAGTACATTCACTGATATTCGTTGATTTGATTTAAATTCAATTATAACGTGAATATAAAAGTAAGAATAACCATTACAAATACTAGACTAATATATATAATAAAAATTTTGAATTATATAAACTTCTCAAATTAACAGAAAATATATTTATGTGAAATAATAATTAATAAAATAAAACTGATAATTTTATATACCATAATATTTACTTTTATTATTTATTGTTTAGAAATGTAATTATTTATATATATTATTTGTTTTTATATAAAAAGTATTATTTAAATTAATATAATTGTATTGATATACTTAATGATATTTATTATTTAAAATTTAGTTAACTAGTTGTTTTATAACGGTTTAAAATTGTTTTATCATGTTAAAATATAAATATAATTTAACTAAGTAATTAAATTTTAGTAACGATTCTGAAAAAGGATATTAAGGATAGGAGTTGCCCAGTCTCACTTAAATGGTGCTCCAGTCTATTAATGATTAGCTTATGATATTAAGGATATTAAATTAGTCAGTGATATTTAAAAAAATAGAAAAAACACTTGAAGTCATGACTTGTGATAAAGGTTTTTAACGTTGTCTATTGAGTAGCCCGTAGCCAATCATATCAAGATATTTTATTGTTGAATTATATATGACCTATCATTTCGGTGACAGGTTACCTACCCATCGCTGTATTGAAATTAATAAGGCAACGTGGATGGTCATGGCGTTTTTCTCGATATATCATATTTTTCATCTAATTTTCAGATATCATTTTGATTATTTTTTCGATCTAACACCCTTTGTAGTAAGGTACGCCTCCTGTATCGCGTTTTACATTGATATGGCGTCACGTGGGGTAAGACGCGCTCCTTAAGCGCGCCTTATGCTGACGGGATACAAGTGTGTAAAGCGCAGTCCCTATGGCGCGCCTTAAGCCAGGTAGGGCAATAGCGCAGAACAGGGGCCGCACCTTACCTTTAATTCAATTACATAAAGCGCGGGCAAGGGCCGCGTCTTATCTGTATAATTATAGCAACTTTTCTCGGCTATAAATACCCTTCTCCCCCGATAAACTCCTCACATCTCCCCTCTCAACTTATAAATTAATACAATAATTCTGTCAACGAATCAATAATTCTAGCAATCTTCTCATATTTGATTCAGAAGTTCGTGCGATTTTTCGTTATAAGGTAATTTTGTTATAATTTTTATTATACTTATTGTTTATTATGATTATTTGAAAAAATATTATACTAATTGTTTTCAATTAATTTTTGTGTTTTCAATATTATTTATTTAATCATGTTTTTTTCAGTTGTTTTTTACAGATATAATATTATTGCACTTTTAAACTCAAAGAATGACGCGAGTTTCAGCTATTGTTTATTATGATGGTGAAATTCGAGAAGATGAAACCAACGTTGTTTTCGTATCAAATGAGCGTGTTAAAATATCATTCAAGATAAACATAACTCTTGAGGAGCTGATAACGAATATTTCGATGAAGGTTCATGTTGGAAGTAGTAGAAGAATGTCGTCGTTGCAGTACAGATTTCCAACATCATTGTTGCCATTAACTTATACAGCGTTCGAACTTTCGAACAATGATGATGTTGAAGTGATGGTTGAATCTCAAAGTAATTATTCAGACGCCGATATTGAGATGTATGCAAATTTTGTTCAAGTGCGTGCTGCTCGGGGTCAGCCATTAAGCTACCACTATGGGCTGGCTGAACAAGTTGATCAAGTTGACAGTCCGACGACAGTAATGTGTAATGATTTTAATGCCATAATGGGGAGACATTCATCCGCAACTCCTTACGATATGTACCGAGGTGGGTCAACGAACAATCCGTATGGCAACATCGCCTGCAGTTCAAAGGGGAGGCATTCGACTGCAAGCTTTTTCGATCTCAATGTCGATATGCCTTCCAGTTCAAGGGGAAGGCGTGCAAGTAGTAGGTTCTTCGACCTAAATGTGGAGAGCATGGAGGAACCATCATCTCCACCAGAAGAACCGCTTCGTGAGCCTTGTGCGGATGGTGCTGAGACTGGACTATTTATTCACCTAGAATCACCGCAATTCAACTCCGATGATGATGATGTAGATGAAGTTCCAGGAAATGTGGCACAAACTGACCCTCCTGCACACATGTATGAAGCTGATTATGGTGCAATGTACGGACCAGAATTTGCGGATATGCCTCATCTCAGTGACTATGGATATTACTCATCAATAAATAATGGTGAGTTATCTTTAGGCATGGAGTTTTCAAGCAAAGAAGAAGCGATGATGACTATAAAAAATTACAATATCCGTAATTCTGTTTAGTCCAGAGTCGACCATTCCACGACCGAAAAATATGTATGCTATTGTGCCCGACGCGAAAACGGATACAATTAGATGATTCGCGTATCTAAGAAGAAGAGAAAAAACAACAGATGGGAACTAACAGTATACAACGGTCCTCACACATGTTGCGCTGGAGGGGTCAACCAAGATCATCCCAACTTGGACTCTGAAGTGATATGTCAAACCATCATGCCCATGGTAAAAGCAAGCTCTTATATAGATATTGCAGTGTTGATTTCAGCTATACAATCGAAGTATGGGTACACTGTCTCCTATAAAAAAAAGAATGGTTGGCAAAACAAAATGCCATTGTCTCCTACATATTTTCGTTTGGGGGTGCTTTTTGCGAAGCTCGGGGACAAGTTCAAACCTGGATGCAAGGTGGTCATGTAGATTAGTTGCAGATCTACAGAAAAAAATTATTGCATCAAATGGAATATTTGTATCTGACTTCTCTAGAAGGCATGAAATTTTTCGTGTCACAGAGTTGCCGCGACCTCTTCAAGGGATTGAAGCTGTTTCGTTAAGAGTAAATCTACGGGACATAACGTGCAACTGCGGGTTTTTTCAAGCTCTGAAGTATCCATGCTCTCATGTGATAGCAGCTTGCTCGCATACGCGTCAAGACTATAATCGTTTTGTGGATCTCGTATACCTACTATCTGAAGTTTATAAGGTATACGAATTTAAGT